CAGCTTGTTTCAACCCAACATGCAAAAATAGGGAAACATCTGTTCTGAAATGCTGGTGGCTTTCTGAGGCAATTTCATGCTTATTTATCTTGCTTTTTCTGAGACTATGATCTTTTTTCTCCTTTCATCTTTTTAAAGGAAATGGTCTGTTTGAAGATACAGTATTTCAATTTGTCTATTCATCTTCCTTCCTTCCTTCCTTCCTTCCTTCCTTCCTTCCTTCCTTCCTTCCTTCCTTCCTTCCTTCCTTCCTTCCTTCCACATTGAAGCAAACTGTTCCTTAAAACACTGAATGCGGCCTTTTCCATTTCAATATGAAGAAATGAAAGCCAAGCTTACTAAAGAATTTCCTTGAATTCATACTCCAGTTACAAGTGTCTTCAGGACAATGTCAGGCTTCCTGGTCCTTAGTTTAGTTCTGTTTGGTGCCAATTTCCCCCCCACAAAAGGTAGTTTAGCAGGCTTGGTCTTGGGTAGATACTAATGCAAGTAGGAGGGAGAACAGAGGTTGGCTTAGGATATGGACAGCTGTTGGCCAAAGCTGGGGAGCGTTGACAAAAGAGATGGATCCCAACGACTGCTCAGAGAGCCTTATTTCCCTGGGGATGAGATGAATCAAGCCTCCTTGGGCACTGAGGCTTTAGACTTTCTTGTTCAGCTGCCAGGGGCATGGAAGAAAGGCCACATCTGTGCTCCATTGGCTCCAGCACCTCTGTCTTGAAGACTTATGTACCAACAACTGTCATCATTCTGGAGCCAGACAACATTTAACTGGAAAGGCCTATGAGCTCTGTGCCTCTGAGACATTGCTAATATCCCCCTGATGAGGCATATGGCACATCAAACACTCCATAGGGGAAGGAACCTGGGGAATATACAATGAGAAATGGAGTGGGGGTATGAAGACCCTGGCTCAGGTACCTTGTGGGGGAGGGGCTTAGGCCTCTGGTCTACAGGGACAATCCCTAAACTCAACCTTATCACACAAGCGAATGTCAGTAGTGACTGTCCTCATGGAGGGCTATCATCCTGTCCTGGGCAGGCTGTTGGTGGTGGTCTGCAACTAGAGAGCCAGTGTATCCTTTAGGTGGCAGACGGATAGTATCATAGGTTGATGTTACTTTTAGAGACCCATGAAAAAGGCCTTAGTGTTTGTTTTTTTCAACAGGAGGAAAAAAAGAACTTACAGCTCAAAGTCATGTTTTGACCTAAAAATGGTGCCTTTTCTGGGTGGCTCTTTATTTTTCGTGTTGTACTACACTTACACAATTAGTCGTGTTTATGTGTATGATGCTATCACAAGGGTTGGACTGGCATTAATTCTCCAAATTCTTAGAGCATCTTTGGGAGAGAGTGTTCTTCAGAGAAGGAATTGACCTCATAGAGATAAAGTCACGTGCTACGTTCTTCCAGTCAGGACCTTCAGCAAGAGCCTCCTTGTCCCCATTCCCTCACTGTCCTCACGGGATCACTCTGGATGTGCAGTATGGATCCTCCTCTGACTGGATAATTTCTTTCATAAATCATGTTCACCTTCAAATGAGTGGAGTACTACCTGCACTTTGCATACGAATCACAGCCAACCTAAGGGAAGTTGATAAAGATGAAATAAAAGGTGCCTCTAGTGCCAGCGGGGAAAGGAGTGACTCAGAGAGTGAGCATGCGTGTATCTGAGCCGGGGAGAAGCACGAGGAAGGAGCCTGATGCGGCAGGACCCCAAGACTCAGGGCAGAGGCCAGAACACAGTGCAGGGAAGATGGGGACAGGAATTCAGGACAAGACCAGGGTTCGTCCTGTCCTAGGTGTGTTGGGGCATCACAACTAGATTCTGTGTGGTGATAACATGTTCCTGGTGGAAAGCATACACTTTCTCTGAAGCTATGGGACCAAAGACCCAATTGGAAGAAGCGACAAGCAGAAATCTGCCTAGTGTGGTTCATAGCTTCCTGCTGCTGTGAAAAGAACCCGAGAAAAGGCAACCCACAGGGGAGAGGGTTTGGAACACAGTTTCTCGGGATCGTGGCTGTTCTCTGGCTTGTGGTGAGGTGGCTCATTATGGCAGATGTGTGTGGTGGCAGAGATGCTTACATTTTGGTGGCCAGAAAATAAGGTGCAATTGCATGGTTTTGACACATCTTTCAGGGCTACATTCCCAATGACCTGTTGCCTTCAATGAGGCCTCCCCTCCTAAAGTCCTCACCTCTCATTGGTACCATCAGGTGAGGACCAAGTCTACAGCACAAGTGCATTTATGGACATTGAAGGCCCAACCAGAAACCTCACCAAGTCCTGTCTTCAAAGGCAGCATGGCTCACTTCAAACTCTAGTCTATACCTGTACTTTCCTACTTCCCTATCTTGTATTCAGATACAGTCTCTGGCCTGAATAGAGACTGTGCATTACACGGAAGATGGACTCCACAAATGTTACCTGAATAGAGACTGTGCATTACACGGAAGATGGACTCCACAAATGTTACCTGAATAGAGACTGTGCACTACACTGAAGATGGACTCCACAGATGTTACCTGAATAGAGATGTGCATTACACGGAAGATGGACTCCACAGATGTTTAGTGAGCACTTCCCCCTATGTATAAGCTGCCTTTAGTGCCTGAGGATGATACAGTGGACAAAATACACCAGAATCCCTTGCTCCCATGGGATTCAACAGTTGTAACTTTAAAATTCTTTAGATTAGCAACTTAGAAACCAAAAAACTGGTGAAAATGGTCGGTAACCCTGTCTAAAGGGTTTGCTCTGGGTAACCAGAGGAGGATCTGGTCTCAGAGAGGTGAAGTGACTTGCTCAACGTCACACAGTAGGAGTCATATCTTGCTTCCTGTCCTTCATTCTCTTCCTACCTCTCACTAAAGATTTACTAAACAAAAACTTCTATATGCCTTTTGTTTTATATCTTTTACAACATTTGAATAATGTTTCACAGAAATTCATCATGTTTTTTCTCCCCCGAAGCTGGAACTCTCCAAGAAGCAGAGCCAGAGGCAAGGATTCAAAAGCAGCTGTGTGCAGCAAACCTGCCTCTGTTTCACCTATTTCTCTTTCCATGCTGTGGAGCATTTCACTGCGTTTACATTACTATCAATTTAACCTTCACAGTGTGCGCTCATTACCCAGTGCATCCCCATTTGTTGCTTGCAATATTGAGGAGCTGTGTTGCATGTGTTGATGTCATGGGCTTACTACGAGGGGAAGTATATGCAACATGGAAAACTTCATTTCCCGAAAGTCACGACTGCAGAACAGAGTCCCAAGGCCTGCAGAAATTACAGCATTGGTAGTGGGGAGACAGAATCTGGCTAGTTCATTACTGTCCTTATCACACCCATGATTCATAGCTAATGTATGTTTATGTGAAGTTGGCCAAATCAGTGCCCCGTGATGGTCATAAAATGGAAAAGACCTCATTAATTTTGTGGTTTATTTTCTCTGCCAACTATTGTAGCCATTTCCCTTCTGACATTCTCTGGTTTAAATTTCATCATATACCATCAGTTTCAGCATGTCTTTTGGAACTAGTCCACAACACAGTATTTAGAATCGTTGATTTTTTGAAATGATAAAATTACATGTGTTTGGTGATCTGAGTGATGTGACCTATATTCTGTGGTGGTAGTGTTCTCAGATTAAAAAAAAAAAAAAGAGGAGAAACTCTATGAATGCCAAACTCTATGGTCTTGGTATCTTGGTGGATGGTTTTGAATGGCTATCAGCACCTCTAATTAATACTTCCAGATCTCTCTGAGAACCAAGGTACATAGTGTTGGCTGCAAAGACTGCCACCTGTCCTTGGCTACTGTATAAATGTGGCACATTACTCCCCTTTGGAACTCAGGCCAGTGTTTCTCTGGCCACCTTGCTGCAGAAACAAAGAGGAGACCAAGGCCAGGAGTGGTCATAAAGTGTCAGCTACTGTAGGAACTCACAGGACGCAGAAGTCAGATTCTGCTGGATTGTTGTGGGGGAACATTAGCTTATCTCTACATGCATTTAAACAGTCATCACCATGTGATGAATTCATCACTGTCACAGCTCCCTACTGCTAGTATTCAAGCATCTGTCCTGGCCTGCCCTCGGGGTTCTGACAGGATACTCCCTCAGCTGCAGCCACTAAGAGCACCACCTGTGCACACTCACTATGTTCCCTTTTAAAAGAGCCCTGCCCACCTTTCCCCTTTCTTTCTTCTCACCTGCTGCTCCTGTCTCCAGAAGCTGGTCTCCACCCTCCCCTTTCCCCTTTTTATGATCCTTTTCCCTAACTGATAAAAGAAACCCTCTACTTGAACTCTGTTGCATGGCGTCTTTCTCTCAAGCCACTTTTTAAAAATTACAACACCTACTATGGCACATTAAACTCACCAAGAATCCTCAATAGATAAGTAGTTTTACCAGAGACATCATGGGGAAGTGGAGAAGATCCCCACAGCCATACTTAATGATCTTTCCCATCAGAAATACTTATTCTTCCATGGAAGTTCTTGTTTGCCACCAGCATCCTAAGATTTGACTCTATAGTGGCCATGAAGACCTCCCAGGCTCCAGAGCACCAGGTGTCTTGACTCCTTGTTCCTTTTTCCTTTCCATGGTCAGTTAAGTACTTTCTTTATTCTGATTATTTACAATGTTGATGACCTGCTAGAGATAGAAAACTGGTATAATGTAAAGCCAGTCCCTCACTTGGAAACAACAATAGTTGGACCCAAAAGAAAGGCTATAGTCTACAGCTGGGACAGACCCAAGGCTATAAACAGGGGTGATTTCCAACCCAGTTTTCACCAGTTACATTAAATCTGGGGCACAAATGGATTGAGAGGCTTTCAGACTTAGTGGAGCCACAAATGGTCCATTAAAAGTGAACCTGGAGTCTACCTAGAATGAAGTCCATATTCTTAAGAGGCTGAGGGGAAACTCCCTTGTGGCCATGGTCTCTGAGTCCTAAAACACAACAGCAGACAGGTATTGAAGTCATGTGCACTCACCTGATGGGTATGATTTCCAGGAACATAGACAGACTTAAACTGTCTCATGAGAGTCCTAGCTCCAGCAATCTCTTGGAGAGACGTGAATACATCATTCATAGCAAGTTGCGATTTGGGAAATGTCAGGTTAATTGCAGACTCACAGCCTGAAACAGTCCAGAGATATTTTCATAAGTGAACAGATCCTTAAGTTTTCCTCATAACAGCTTGAGCTCAATGTGAGAGTCTGGGATTCCTTTAACCCTACTTTTTTTTCCTGGCTGCTCACTAACAGGGCTGTTTCAGTCATCCATGAGTAATGGAACATTATGAGTGTGAATGCTTTTGACACAGAATTGCCTGGCACCACAGCCATTGACTCAGTCACTAGACTGCCAGGGCTCACTGACAACAAGCTCTCTAGGGGCTTTGATTCTCAGACACTGCCTTGGAAAACCAAGAGGAACACAATGAAAATGAGAGTGAGCACTGCGATGCAACCTTTGCCTGAACTCCACTGACAGTTCCAGAAGGTCTGACAGCAGGATGGAGAAAGAGAACAGAGCCACACCAAGAGTAGAACTAGCTGGGATGGGCAGGTGCCAGGACTACTTAAAGGGTAGCAGTCTAAGCTAATAAAAACACAAAGGTAGCAATCACTCTCACTGATAGACTACTGTTCTGTTAGCCGTCTACCCAGAAGAGAAATAATCAAGGATAAGACAGACGTTCACACACACATGGATGCATTGAGAGCTCTCATCCTCAATTCATAGATACACCAACAGGTGAACTCACCACCTCTCATGTGACCCCTGTGAGGTCACAGGGATGGTGTCTCCCCTTTCGAGCATGAGGACATTGAAATGCAGGTTTAGAAACTCTTGTGAATAGGTACTGCCACAGCCTTGCCATGTTCACAGTCACACAGGTCTCACCCGCAGGGTCCATAGTGCCTGTGTGCTCTGCTATCCATCTGGACCACCTGCCTGCCTTTCTGTCTGTCTCTTCCTCTCTCTTCCTGTGTGGGTTTTCTTTGGTTGTACCAGCTTGTGGGCCCTGCATGTGGGCAGGCTAGAAGGGTTGGGTGCTACATATTCATTCATGGGGATAATTCTGAGTGATGGCCTCCACTGTCATTCTGAGGGGCCTCAGCATGCCTGAACCCAGCTGCCCCTCAAGAACTTGTTCATTAACACCATCTTCCTTCCTCTATGGATTCACTGACAGGACATTTCATACAAATAGACCATAGAATACATGACATTTTGCAGCTGGCTTCCTGAAGTTGTCTTGTTTTTAGGCATTCTTCAAAAGATTAACCCAGAGTTGCCAGTAAGTCCATAATACATTTCATGTATCTACTCAGGTGCCCAGAATACCCAAGGTGGAAACTTTAGAAAGAAAATAAAGTTTCTCAGCTGGCAGGCACTTGGGTTGTCTCTGTGTCTCAGTTGTCAAGACAATGCTGGGAGTTTTTCATGGACAAGCTTTTATGTGGACATGCACTTCCATTTCTCCTGTGTGGACTTGATGGCAACTCTGTGTTAATCTTTTGAAGAATGCCGGATCCACACTGTTTCCCAAATAACTAGCTACTTTACATTCCCACCAACACTCTAATATGGTTTCAGCTTCTCTATGTCCTTGTCAAATTCTTCTAATATCTATTACTAATATCTATTTTCTTGACCATAGCTATCCAAATGCCTATAAGGGGATACTTGTTAAGTTTGATAATCAAGAAAATCGCTTTGGGAAGGAAGAGGTAGGGTCAAACAAGCTTAAACTAAAAGGGGATGCATCTAGCATACATAGAAGCATCCAAAGGACCCCAGCTGCATCCGTACAGAGAGGTGGCATGTGAGTGGCTAAGCCCATACTCTTAATTAGTATGTGACACTGTGTATAGTAACTCTTAAGGGTAGGCAAAATTCCCTAATAAATATTTGCTTCCTGGTTTCTACAAATGTCTGACTTGTCATTTAAAAAATGGGACTGTGATACAGTGGTTTGAATGAGAAATGTTCCTCATAGGCACAAATATTTGAATATTTGGCCTTCCATCGGTGGCACTGCTTGAGGGAGAGATGGAACTTGCTGGAGGAAGCATGTCACCGGGGGAGGGGGAGCTGTCTTGATAAAATGTGATCAGCTAGCTTCCTATTCCTGCCACCATGCCTGCCGGCTGTCATACTCTTCCTGCCATAAACTCTATCCCTTTGTAACCATAACCCAAAACAAACCCCTTCCCCCCTGAGTTGATTTTGGTCATGGTGTTTCATCACAGCAGCAGAAAATTAACATATATATATGTATGTATGTGTGTGTGTGTATATATATACACTAGTTTTGTTACAATAAAATACTAGAGGCTGGGTACCTTATAAAGATAAAAAGTTTCCATTATAATCTTAGAGGGTAAAAAGCCAAGATCTACTTAGCCTTGTCACAGTATGGCATTATGATGACAGAATGTGTGAGGGGAACAGATCACATGGTAAGATAAGAAGCAAGGGCAGAGAGAGGCCAGCCTATTCTACTCATAACTCACTCTTTCAGGAACTGTTTTTGCAGAACCAGAAGTGACTCCAGAGGGAGTGTCAGTGACCTGCTGACCTTGCCCTGTCTCACTTTGTCATGTTCTACCACCTGTCAAACTCAGCACCCTGGGGGTTGATCTTCCAGCACAGGAACCTTTGGTGACAACCCACACCTAACCCGTGCAGAGGTGAAGACAAATGTGAGAAAACTCTGTGTTTAGTTGACTTTGTGTACGTGGAGGACTCCAGTGGGGATGCAGGAGGAAGTCAATGGAAAGTCTCCAAGCATTCACACAAATCCTTGGAACAATTCCATGCCAACCTTGTGGATAGGGGAAACCTGTAGTTTTCTGAAATGTATGCTTATAACTTCTTCCTGAATCCTGAAAAGATTCAAAGCTACGAATAGCTGCACTACAAAAGGCCAGAGTGTGGAATAGTCTCACAACCTGGCTGCTATTCGCACTGAAGCTCAACCTGAGACCACACAGCTTGTGTCTTATTATCAACAAAAGAAGGAAGGCCAAGGGTGTGGCTCTTCATTCACTAATGAGGGTTCTTCTATAAACTCATGTGAGTAAATCTGACTATCAACTATCAATCTACATATCATCTACCTACCAATCATCTAGCAATCATTTATCAATCATCATGAAGACAAGGAGAAAGAAGCATTCCGAGTTCTAATACCATACAATTTGTTTTTAATTCCTCTAAAGGACTGGCTAGTAGACTAATATTTTAGGTAAAATAATTCATTTTCTATAGAACTGAAAAAGTCATTCAATTTTCACATGGCCCATTTTAATTTTGGGGAAGAGTACAGAGGAAATTATTTATCCATTAGGCAGAGTTTGGTATGAAGTCATCTACTAGACTGAAGATAATTTACTGAAAAGTCTAGACTATTTGGGGAGCTTGTACATTATACATCAAAGTTAAGGCCAAAGTATGAACTCATATGGGTTAAGGTCAACCACCGAGCAGGCTATTTAATAGAGGTGTGTATGGGTTACTGTTAAACTGAACTTAAATGAACCAAGTGAACAACAGAAACTGTTGGAAGGAAGACAAAGTCCAAACTGTGCCAATAAAGACCTTCTTTTAAATAGTCTACTGTTTAAACCTCCCATACGGAGTAACTTCTGTTCAAACTGCTGACTCTCCCCAACTTTCATGTTTTCTTCAAAACCAGTGTCCTCGGATGCATGTGTTCTGGGGACAGTAGTTGAAGGGGATTCACTTCTAATCAGTCTTTAACCATTTTTCATAATTTACTTAAATTTTACTGCTTTACACTTACTAAAGTTGCATACATAAAATCTTTCAAAAAGTGGTAACACAAACAAACAAACAAACCAAAATGGGACAAAATCGACAAACAGAAAAAAGGAGAGTTTTATCTTATTTTATCATCCTCATCCTCATCATTATTTTTAGATTTGGTTATATTGTAAAGAGAGAGAAAAGGAAATGGTGTGAATTTTTGTGGGTGGGGAAGAGGGAAGGATCTTGGAGGAGCTGGGGAAGAGAAAACTAATCATAACATATTATATAAACATTTTATTTCAAGTAAAAAAGTAACTTTCCAAATAAAGGTTTATTGCTAAGTGTGGTGGTAATTTATGCCTTTAATGACTAAGGCAGGAGAGTTGCAAGTTCAAGACCAGCTTGAGCTACATAGCAACATTCTGTCTCAAAAACCCATACAAAACATTATAAAGCAACAGAAAAAGAAATATGGGTCAGAAATATCAGCAACTAATACAAGATCCTCCATTAATGTCCCTCTTCTATTGCAAACTAGCAGTCCTGTAGACATCAGGATTCCCACCATCCAAAGGCACATCTGGGGAAGCTGTTTATTCCATGTTTGTACTGCAGTTAATAGAAAAGAGGGGACGTGGACACAAAAGCTACAGCATGGGACGAGCAGCTTACTTCATTATTAGCAATCTCTATGTTCTCTTATGTTCACTCTAGTTCAGTGGTTCTCAACCTTCCTAAAATTATTTTCTTAGCGGGGCCATGGTGGCGCATGCCTTAAATCCCAGAATTCACGAGGCAGAGGCAGGTGGATCTCTGTGAGTTTGAGGCCAGCCTGGTCTACAAGATCTAGCTCCAGGACAGCTAGGGTTACACAGAGAAATACTGTCTTGAAAAACCAAAAAAAATTATTTTCTTTGCTACTTCATAACTGTAATTTTGCTACTGTTGTGAATCATAACACAAAGATACGTGTTTTCCAATGGTCTTAGGTAATCTCTGTGAAACGGATGTTCAACCACTAAAGGTGGCGGGACCCACAGGTTGAGAACTACACTAAGAAGTTTATGTACACTAGCATATCTAATCTCCACAGAAAGCCAGGGTGGTAACATGGTAGACATTATTACCATTCCCACTGCAGATAGAGCAAGTTAGCCACTGAAAAGTAACACAAGGCCACCCTAAGCAATCGGTGGCAAAGTTAAGAGTTAAGCTCTTTCCGTCTCACTCCAGCAGTGGCTTACTTGCCACGGCATGATTCCATATGTGGTAAGAGCATGTGAATAAATGAAAAATTAGAAATACACTTAGCTCATTTTACATTGAAGAAATTCTTTTACAATGGAGTGGTAAAT